TCACGCCACAGTCGTCTGTAGCGGATACCGACCATATACTGGGCTTTACATTGCAGTAAGAGCATCACGTATCTCATCAGTATCCATTTAGTATAGGCTGTGTTCGTAGCCGATCGTACTAGGACTCCCTCAGGTATTGGCAATGTTTTCTATGTCGGGCACAACGCTTTTGATACGCTACAGTGCCATAGGTAAGATAGGATGAAGTATCCCTGTTGTAGTATCTGTTCACATTTCAGGTAATGTATCGACCTGGAGTGGCTTTGCTTCGAGACAGTGCGTGTTGTCTGTGATGGCTCTAGTAGCTGGGTTCGCGTTAGCAAAGAGTGATGATAACCAGGATTTGCCTGCTACAGTCCTACCCAATGAAGTTATTGGTTTGGCAGTCATTGCTGGTCTATCGCAGGTGGGTGTCCTTCGGGTCATCTCTGTGTTAGTTGAGGATGAATGCTTGTATATACGTTCCGCGTAGTCCCACGTTATGGTCGGATTTTTCAGGCGCTAGCGATATTTGCTCTGAACGCGGCTTTGCTGTATCCTTCTACGAGTCTTGTCAACGTGATTGCCTCCTCCCAGTCCGTAGTTGTGCTCTTTCTCAATCTTGCTATAGATGGTTTGCTCCCATGCCTATCTCAATTGATTGGTATGTCTATTCTTCTCACTGGTGTTATCTTAAGTTCGTTGTTGCCACCGTCGATGCCACAGGATGGGGTTGATTGCAGGAAAGAGGCGTTCCGAGTGGAGAACCTCTCTACTCGAGAGAGTTTGTTAGATCATAGTAGCAGTCTTGTGTAATTGATAATTTCTAAGCATGTCTAATTATGGTTTTCATTTTGAAGGATTTGTAGTCTGAGTATGTCTAACATTGTTTTTTTTCAATAATCATTTTTTATAATAACTCGCTCTAAGACGTCGAGTCAGCGTGTATAGACCATGGGAGCTCCAGCTCGCGGTCTACTATTACTGTAATCATCATTTCTCTAGCGACTAAAGCAGACCCAGGATTCCTCACTTCTCATCGACGATTTGTTATGTCCTGGACTAGCTGCTATTCGTTACGGCATGAACGTCGGAGCTAGCCGTTCTATGAAGAAACCGCTCA